AATGACAGGCAGAACTGAAATTGGTCTGTAATTTCCTGGCAGGTTTCGTTGGCCATTTTTATAGAGCGGTATTACTCTAGCCGTTTTCCATTCGTGAGGGAAAAGGGATAGGATAATAGCTTGATTGAAAATATATGTGAGTGAATCTGAGATAGCAGGTGCAGCTATTTTAATAATTTTACTGGAGATCTTATCAACGCCAGTGGCTTTGTTGCTAGAAAGACCATGTAAAAGATTGTAGACATTGCTGACAGTGACTGGCTGGAATGCACTGAATTCTGATTTAGCCTTTTCAATATATGTTTGAAAGTTCAAATTTGGAGTATCAATTTTGCTAGCTAGATCAGGGCCAATATTTGAAAAATAATTATTAAAGCCCTCTGCAATATCTTTGGTATTTGTCAAACTATTTTCACCTAGTTTTAACTCATTTACTACTGTTGGTTTGCTTTTTACTACTGTTGGTTCACTATTTCACAATAGTGGTGCACTATTGTGAAATAGCCTTCCTCAAGAAATAAGAAAGCTTCAAACACAGGCTAAATTTAAAAAAGCTGTTAATAAGTATTTCGACGAATAAAAAGCCCCCACACGGCAATCTAGTAAACCAGTATTAGTATTATTAGTTTATTGTCTTTCTTGCAACTACTGTAGATTTTACCGTGTTTAAATAAATTGTATAATAATAATAATAATAAATAATAATAAAAAGCCCCAGAGGTGGGACATTTGACCTACGCATCAACTCCCAGAGTCGGGAAATTTTCACATCCGCCATCGTGAAAGTTTGCGCGGTTTTGATATTAAAAGGCCTGGTAACAAGTATGGCGGAGAAGCAAGATCAAGTTTCATCGAAAAAGGTATTTTATACACAGTGTCTCAATTTTTACCAGGTTTAAACCAGTATAGGCTGTATGTTCGCATTGGGAAACATCTGTGTGCCTTGTTATCTTAGGAATATAATGGAGAATTTTGACAGCTGTTCCTTGCCCAACAGTGGGGATTTTGACTACAAAATTTTAAAAATATCAAAATTCCCTTGGGTTGTCCGCACTTCCTACATGATAAACAGGTATGTGTTTACATATTGGAAGGCGGGGTGATTTTGATGTATTGAAATAAGTCACTGGCTAACAGAATTGAAATGTTGTAGTTCAAGAAGATTATTATTGCTGCTTGAACAACCTTTAGTTTACAGTTAACTATGTAGTTTTTGCTGAATCGTTAACCGTAATTTATTTCAATACATCAAAATAGTCTAGCCTCACATCTTGTCTTGACAAAGCAGGATCATATAAACAGCCCCTTATTCAGCAAATTCTGCATGCTGCCTTTGTCACTTGGGGGCGAGGCAGCATTTTCCTTGCGATAGTAACTCCTAGTTTTACACTAAATTTAAGCTTATAGAAGTAATAATAACCTATCTACATCGTATATCTCGGGAAGTGATAAATTATCAGAGCAAATTACCAGATCAGGTGGCGAAAAATTGGCAAAACGAACAGACAATTACCAAACCCAACAACCTGACTATCCCATTGGAGTGATTGGACTATATACGTAAACTGGAATGATAAGTCTGGCGCGGATTGAAGTCGTGCTTTGTAAGTATACACAGTGCCAGTCTATTTTTGCAATTTTTTTTAATACACTTTTTATATCGATAATTTACCCTTTAATTTAATTTCCTTTCCCCCGTTCCTTTTTCATTTTCACTCAAGTACTTACATATAAAAAAAATCATTCCGATGCCGAGTGCTCCATTTTCGAATAGTAAACTCAAGCTGCGCCATCGTTGAATATTCGCCTCGTTGTCTAATGATTAATTTGTCCAGTGTTACTACATGCGGACAAACCCTAATTAAACTGAATTATTTTTATCTATACTGGATAGCTATATATCAGTTCCAAAACTGTTCTCTTTAGATGTCCAGTAATAGCTTTCGTTTGTGTTGTCAACAGTATAGTTGCTAGTACTGGATGAAATCAAAGAGAAAAAAGTTTCCTGTTGTGTTATGCGGAGTAACTGTTCCAATTGGCAATCATAATCAGATCTAAGAAACATGGATGTGCGATACCGGGGGAGGGCTAGCGCGCTGCTGTCCCCAGTCAGTATTTAATTTAGTTCGATAATTTGCTAGGTCTGCCGCTTCATGCGGTAGAATGTATATTGTCATGATATCAATGTTGAGATATTAATATGAGTCAGAGAACCTGAAGTTCAGGTAAATGTTTGCCCTCTTCCCAACTACAGTAGAGACCTTACGATTTTAGGACGGCAACGCGACGAAAACGGCGAAAACAAACTCCTTCAAATAAATGGTAGTAAAGATAATTCGTCGTATATTATCAATCGTATGAATTTAATACAGTCTTAGAAGTTGAAGACATGGGTTTTACGGTTGGGAAGACTTCTGCTGAATCCAGTTTGAAGTTGCACTTGTTGCGGCTTGAAATGCAGCCGTTGTATGAAGACGTGATAATCTGTGATGTCTAATTTATTCTCGTGAAATCTAAATTATTCATATATTGTAATTATTCAATTCTTTTCAATGATCTATTGTATTGGTATAGCCGTTGCCGTCGCGTTGCCGTCCTAAACTCGTAAGGTCACCAGTATTTTTCGCCGGACGCCTGTGCTAAAGAATTTTATATTCATGTTTTTTCCCCACAGAAATATATGCAATCAATGTACGTAACTGGTAGTAATGGTAATAATCGGTTTAATTCAGCCAACTTCTTTAAGTATAATACGTAATTAACAATATACATTGGAAAAATACTTTTTCTTATGTTTTTCTGAGCAATACTGAGACCCGAGCAGGAAACGACGTCCTATACAAGTCCGGGTAGCACAGCCGGCCTCGGGATTAGTGCCTAGTGTATGTGATTAATCATTATTCACCTGGTGAGTCGTGGAATATAGTATATATTTGTTATCATTGTTTGGTATTCTGGAAACGAAATTTGTGTTCAAAACAAGGCGCAGAGCTAGTTGTTTCGCATACTTCGAGGCGTTCTATAATCTGCTGTATGAAAAACATGGTTCGAGGTTATTATATTATTTGTCAAATGGACTTGTATTATAAGAGATATTTAAGGCGTTAGATGAGTTAATTTATGGGCGTTAATTATACCGGGGTATCAAGACAACGATGCGATGTTGGCTTCCTTTGTGTTTTGCTCACGAATCAATACTAGATCTTGAGATCCAGAGACTTCAGATAGTTTACTACTATTGAATTTGAGGACATTTCAATACTTTTAAAACGAAGGATATATCACTAGTACACAGTAGCGTAGGCAGCCATCTTCTGTCCCGCTATGCAAATATTTTCGTGTTCATTGACTGTGAAAACAATCAATTTCTAAAGAAATGAATAATGATAATACCTTTGAATTTGCATAGCGGGACTGAATTGTCGGGCTTGTTCACGCCTTTGAGCCTCGTTTCAATGTTTGTTGACGACCAACCCACGCGCCTTCAATACTTGCATTTGGGGACTGTATATTAATGTTACATGAAGTACACACCACTCACCATAACGGTTTTATTTTTCACGCTAAAAAGACAAATATTCATAAACTTACAAAGCGAAATAATACAGAAATACCAAAACATACATATTAACCTTACACAATACATAAATGAATAAACTGAGACTGTCTAAGTTAAAATATTACGACTGTCATGCACCTATCAATGTTTTCCCCCTGAGGGGGGGGGGGGTGCGGGCAACCCAGGGGAATTTTGACATTTTTAAAATTTTGTCGTCAAAATCCCCACTGTTGGGCAAGGAACGCCTGTCAAAATTCCCCAATATATTCCTAAGATAACAAGGCACACATATGTTTTCCAATGCGAACATACAGTCTATACTGGTTTAAACTTGGTAAAAATTGAGACACTGTGTATAAAATAACTTTATCGATGAAACTTGATCGTGCTTCTCCGCCATACTTGTTACCAGGCCTTTAATGTCAAAACCGCGCAAATTTTCAAGATGGCGGATGTCAAAATTTCCCGACTCTGGGAGTTGATGCATAGGTCAAATTCCCCTCCCTGGTGCTTCATAGTGTGGTCAAAGTCCCCTGGGTCGCCCGCACCTCCCCCTCAGGGGGAAAACAATGATAGGTGCATCACATGCACGAATATAAATCAGTCAAATTATGCTCATTTTTACCGTTCAAAAACAGTCAAATCTTCTTGAATCAAGCCAGCCAACAGAGCAATACAAAATCGACAATAATAATAAGTTTTCTCAATCAAAACACGTCCAAAACAGCGTGCAAAGCGACCAAATTCTTTTTAAACAACTCAGTTCTCTCAAAGCGTCACGACAACGTTTGTTCTTGAGCCCGCAGTGTAATAAACGCATACATCATATAAAGTTTCTCAACGCCCGTCCATCACTCCTCCCCATCGTTCGTCTCGATTTCATCGGGGCGACGATCGTATCCGCATTCCTCTTCGAGAAGACATAATTTTGTAACTGGTCTGGTATAAACACGATTGTTAGTCTTCACTTTGGCAGCTCGAACGCGTCCGTCTTTTCCAGGACATGTTTCAACAACCCGTCCTAACTTCCACACGCCACGTAGAAGACCTGAATCTGCTATGAGAACAACGTCATTAACTGAAATGTTCCTTTCCTCGTTCCGCCACTTCTTCCAGGAGATGAGATTAGGCAGGTAGAGCTTCACCCACCGCTGCCACACGACATTTGCTAAGTGCTGGGTCTGTTTGAAACGACCTTGAAAGTTTGGTCGGCTGTACTCTCCGAGTGGAACAACTGGCGAGCGTCGGTGTCACCAAAAGTGGTAGGGTGTCAGAGCCACTATGTCCTCAGGATCGCTGCTGACGTATGTTATCGGTCGTGAATTGACGAATCGCTCGACTTCGGCAAAGAGAGCGGACAACTGCAAATCTGTAGGGTTACTTCTCTTTGGACCTCCTTTTGGATTCGGGGTACGGTTAAGTGCTGTATTGACTGACTTAACTAAACTTTCGTGTACTCCTCCCCAGTGAGGGTTGCAGGGGGTTGGAACTTCCTGGTGATTCCTTCTCCAATTCTAGCTAGACGGGTTTGAAGTTCTTCACTATGATTTAGTTCTCTAACCATCATCGACTTCAATTCAGAGACTGCGCCGACGAAGTTCGTGCCGTTGTCACTGTAGATAGATCTTGGCTCTCCACGCCTCGCCATCATCTTGTGAAGAGCTTGTAGGAAGTCAGGGGTGGATAACGTTTCATCAACTTCCAAATGAACACATCGAGTCGTCATGCATGTAAACAGGGCGCCGTATCTCTTCGCCTTCGTGTTTCGAGTCAGCTTGACTTCGATTGGCCCGAAATAATCCACAGAAGTGTGGTAAAATGCTGGTTGCATGGCAGTTATTCTTTCGATAGGAAGTTCACTTAGTAACTGACTGCCGGGCTTCGCTCGTTCTTTCTTACACTGGGCGCACTTTCTCTTGAAACTCTTGACTTCCTGTCGTCCGCGAATTATCCAGAACTTTTGACGAATTGCGGCCAAAACGTGGTCAGTTCCTCCGTGTTTTTCGAACCGATGATAGCTCCCGACAATCAGCTCGGTCAAACGGTGTTTCTGAGGTAAGAGGATCGGGTGTCGCACCTCGTAAGGCAATTGAGCCCGTTCAAGTCTTCCTCCAACACGGGTTACGTTATTTTCGTCCAGGTAGGGTGTAAAAGGCAACAGTTTTGATCGCTTTGTTGACACGTTTCGTTCTTTCCAAGGATTGGAGCTCGTCGCGGAATGCTTCTCGTTGACATTGGCGCACTAGGGCAGTCAGTCCAACTCGTAATTTTTGTACGGTTACGGCACTACTCTCCGGTTTCTTTCCTTTAAATACACTGAAGAAACGATGAACTTGCGCTGCCACTCGTTGTGCTTTCGACAAGGACGAAAATCGCTCCAAATCCACGTCAGCATAGACGGGAACACGCTCTGGGTTGAATTTGGCAACGAATATTTTGCTTGGTTTGATTTCTTCGTGTTGCTGTAACTCTTCAGCAGGCATTTCCTTTGGCGAGTTATCTTCACCTTGATAAAGGAAATCAGGACCAGTGAACCAACGCACGGGAATCAATTCCGACCGCTCATCAAATCTCGAACGGGTGGCACAGTCACTTACATTCAGTCGGCCAGGTACGTGGCGCCAGGACTTTGGGTCTGTCAACGTTTGGATTTCGCTAGCTCGGTGAGCGACGAACGGCTCATACCAAATTGCAGTAGATCGTATCCAACCGATAACACATTTACTGTCCGTCCAAAAGAAAACGCGGTCAATGTGTCGTGTCATAGCTTCTTTAACATAATTCGCTAGGCGAGCACCTAGAAGGGCAGCTTGCAGGTCAAGCCTTGCTACACTTCAAGCTTTCTTCGGAGCTACTTTCGTCTTGGCCATCAGGAAGGAGCACCGTACGTGGCCATCGTCGTAAATGCTTCTCAAATAGACCAAAGCCGCGAAAGCTTCCTCCGAGGCATCAAGAACGTATGAATCTCTGACTCGATCACGTTTTTCTTCTTAGGTTGAATACATCGTGGTACACTTACTAACTCTAACTCTGGCAGCCTTCTTAACCAAGCTTTCCACTTCGTCAGGTGGGAATTAGGAATGGGGTCATCCCAATCGACACCTAGTAGGCACAACTGCTGTGTTAGGATCTTTGCTTTGATAATGAATGGCGTAGCTAACCCAAGGGGGTCGATCACACCGGCCAACTTGCTCAGGAGGCCTCTTCGGGTGTATCTTACATCTTCAACCGGTGCAACTGCAAATGTAAGTTCGTCAGTTTCAGTGTTCCATTTTACACCGAGAATTTTCTTTTCTGGTTCATGTTCGACAAGGTTGGTCACAATGTCAACTTCAGGTTTCGTTTCCTGTCCGAGCTCAGATACTACTTCCAGGATGTTGGACGTCCACTTCCTTAAATGTAAATCACCCTTCGCTAAGATCTCCTTTACTTGCTGTCCTCTCTTGACGGCTTGTTCCTTAGTCTCTGCAGAGTCAAGATAGTCGTCCACGTACAAGTTCTCGTTAATGGCTCTCACAGCATCTTCTTGTCCTTGTCCATGATCTTTAGCAGTTCGGCGAGTGACATAAATTACAGTGATCTAGCATCTTGTTCCTGCAATCTTACTCGGCTAAACATTGCCTCGATATCGGCTCCGAATGCAACATCACCTTTCCGGAACTTTGTGAGGACTTGTGGAAGTTCATTCTGTAGAACAGGTCCTGGGAGTAAAGCATCGTTCAAACATTTGCCTCTGTACTTAGCTCAGGCATCAAAGACTACTCGGATGTTCTTCTCGGACGGATGATTCTTCTTCTTCTTCTTGGATGACTTCTTCTTCTTCTTCTCGACGATGACTTCTTCTTCTTCTCGGCGGATGATTTCTTATATACTCCGTGATGAGGGAGATACCACTGATTTGGTCCATTGAGGTCGTCTTCTTCACCCACTTTGTGTGCATATCCGTCTTCTACATACCTGCTGACAGCTTTGCGATAATCTTTCTCATACTCTGGGTCTCGCTCAAATCGTCGTTGCAAGCCTTCCAATCTCGTTTGGGCGACTTCTCGATTGTTCTGAAGCTGTGGTTCGTTTTCTTTCCATAACAAGGGGACCTCGTAACCGGTCTCCAACTTCCTAGTCTCGTGTTCCAGTATATCCAAGGCTCGTTGATCATCATTGGAGTAGTGTGGCAAGTTCGTTGTCTTAGTCCCAAACGACTCGCTATCCCAAAACTGCTTAAAGGCAGCATCGAGTTGTTCTGGCTCAGCTCTGGCAACGTGATAGCTGTGGATGTCGCCACGAGGCTTGCCAACTAGCCCAAACGCCCTCCAGCCAAAACTTGTCCTTTTGGCTACGGGTTCTTGTGGTTTGCCCATCTTTACATCCAACGGTACCAACAAATCTGCATGATCAAGACCGAGAAGGATATCAATTTCACCACCAACAGCTTTCAGGTTAACATTTTCCAGGTGCTTCCACTTTCTTTTGATATCAGGCCATTGAACAGTTCCAACTGGCTGACAGATCTTTGGAAGGCTCCAGGCTGTGAGATTAACATATTCAGCATTGCCTTGTGGTGTTTTAACGTGGAGGTTCACTTGAGAAGACGTTCTTTTGCTTTGTTTCCTCCAACATCCGAAATGTTGAGCGTGGTTTTCTTTTCCTGCAATTCCAGCTTTCGCACAAAAGATTCTGTTACCAGAGTAGTGTCAGAACCATCATCAGACAAAACGTTTCCTTTCACTTTAATGCCACCAGCACCAACGACGGAAACTTCAACAACTCCAAACGCTACACCGGACTGTGGTGTCTTGGTGGTGGTTGAACGCACATTTTCTTCTTGGTGTAATAACGGGTTATGTTTCCTTTTGTAGTTCCCGATGCCGCATTCCTTTTTCTGTGGAGAATTTCGAGAAATAAGAGATTCTTCTAAGCAACCAAAACAGAGCCGTTTCTTTTTCACAAAGTTGAAACGGTCTTCCGTCGACAACTCCTTCAACTTAGTACAGTTCTCCGTCCTATGCTTGCCATCACATTTTACGCATTTGGCAACATGCTGGCCAAATAAAGATCTTCTTGGATGGTTTCAGTTGTTCCGATTTTCTTTTCTTCGAGTATTTTGTGGGGGCAATGCAATCCAATAACACCTTCCTCTTGCGCCCAACCATGTGCTGAATGCTTCTAGCGTCATCTTCACTTGACCTTCGCCAACTTTTGTCCGCCAGGCCTTTGCATCCTCCTGTGGTAACTTATCAGTCAGTTCGTAAATAAGAGACGACACAAATGGAGATTCTCCCATACTATATAGTTTTAGTACAGCAAGAAGGTGACTTCTTGCTTGATCAACGAAGGTCTGGAAACTAATTGTTAAACTGTCCGGGTCTCCAGGAACGACAGCAGGTAGCGATTTTAATACTTGTAGATGAGCTGCTTGTAGCGTAGTTGGATGACCATATCTATCCCGTAATAGCATTAGGGCTTTGGCATATCCTTCGTCATCTGGGAACAGACCTGCAATCACTTGGTCACATTCTTTAGAAAGCTTTGTGTGAAGGAATCTCATCTTGGCTTCCGAGGTCATCTTCGTATTGTGTACAAGCGCTTTGAAGAGACCACTCCAGAACAACCATTTCAATGGATCCCCATTATAAATAGGCACATCTGCTCTTACGGGGATTTTTCCAGGGTCCACTGATCGAACATTAACTTTCAGTGTTTTTCGAAATCCAACGATCCAATCTTCTTCACTGGCATTTTCAGATTGGGCTCCCTGTGTCTGGACTTGTTCGAAGTGTTGTACATAAAGTGCAGCCTTTTCTTTACCGCATATCTCTGGTTGTTTTGTCCGGACTTGTTACACCCACCTCCAATGGCTTCTGACTGTCTTACAGCTTCCTCTGCTTTTAATTCGAGTCGAGCAGCTTCGGTTTTCTTTTCTGTTCAGCGTCAAGGTCTTCCAGTTTCTGCTTATCAGTTTCATCTTGATCATCACCTTCTACTTGGGGCTCGGGGGGTGGACTACTGTTCTGTGAACTAGTCTCTTAACCGATGTGAGTCGAGGTCTCACCGGTTCGGTCTTGTAGATGTTCCTTTACCATGCCAGTTATGCAATTTAAGTCGACTGTTAAGTCAGTGAGGATATACATGTCCGCGAGTATTTCTTCATTCCCTTCAAGATACTTTTCGAGCTGGTCATTAGGCTACTACATCTTTAACTTTAGTTTGGATGTCATGTAGATTTCTCTTTATAGAAGTCCGACTACGTTTTTCTTCCATCATTTTGTTGGTCGCATTAATATAACTGGTGATCATCCCTATTGCAACACGTCTGTTGAAGCGAATGCCCTTGATTGCTTTGGAGAGGGGGGTTGATGGGTCTTCTCTAATATGTCTTGCATTGTCTACTTTCTTAATGTTCTGATCGGTTTGAGGGGTTTGGCTTGTTTCTGGGACTTCCTCATGATCTATGTCATCGTTTTGAGATCTATTATCCTTTCGAGATCTTGTATTTTCGGCTACAGACATTATTTTATTCCAAAATTATGTCCCACAGTTTGTCAGTTCTGTCTAGTTTTGCTCTGATCCGGCTCGAAGGACCAAAATGTTCACGCCTATGAGCCTCGTTTCAATGTTTGTTGACGACCAACCCACGCGCCTTCAATACTTGTATTTGGGGACTGTATATTAATGTTACATGAAGTACACACCACTCACAATAACGAATGGTTTTATTTTTCACGCTAAAAAGACAAATATTCATAAACTTACAAAGCGAAATAATACAGAAATACCAAAACATACATATTAACCTTACACAATACATAAATGAATAAACTGAGACTGTCTAAGTTAAAATATTACGACTGTCACATTCACGAATATAAATCAGTCAAATTATGCTTATTTTTATCGTTCAAAAACAGTCAAATCTTCTTGAATCAAGCCAGCCAACAGAGCAATACAAAATCGACAATAATAATAAGTTTCCTCAATCAAAACACGTCCAAAACAGCGTGCAAAGCGACCAAATTCTTTTTAAACTATCAGTTCTCTCAAAACGTCACGACAACGTTTGTTCTTGAGCCCGCAGTATAATAAACGCATACTTCATATAAAGTTTCTCAACGCCCGTCCAGGGCTGTCTGCGCGACTGATCACCAAATGTTTTCAAGGATTCGTGATGGCGACAAGAATTTGCAGTTTTTCTACTTGGAAAATAATTAACTTTTTTATGTATTAAGTACTCGAGAAAAACATGCATACAGGAATCGTACGGTTACCCGCTAAGTTCGATTACGAAATTGATGATTATAATGGCTTAATGGATCAGGCCGTCAAGTTTTGGTCTTAGTGGTGCCAGCTACATTAAATACATGACATGAAGCAATTAAGTTCGGCAGGTACTGATCAGAAGAAATACTCAAAACTAGAACTAATTAAAGTGAATTAATCAGCATATATCGCAACAAGAAAGGACATAATAACACTATTTATGTATTCAAAGTTGCCTCGTTAATAAATTAACGATTATATTTAGGCGAGATTAAATTCACGACGCTTAGAAAACAGGTCATTAAGCAACTGAACACACAACTTGAAGTATAGGTGTTTGATTTTTCACTGTGATAACTGGAGAGAGGGAGCCAAAATATAGGTACGTATTTAGTGAATATAATGCATGGAATAACATAGCTGCCGCAGGATGATAGAACTTGAATTGGAGGTTTCGAGACCAAGGTCCTTCGCTCAAAATATTAAAGTTAATTTATGCAATATTTTTCAGGTAGCTTTATTCTGTAACAATTCCATTACATTGTTGTCTGTTAATTTGCCACTTATATGCACTAGGACCACATACTCAAATATTTTGTGAAAATGCTATATTATTTATATGCTATGATTTGCTTGTTGCTGCTTTTTAACAAGAGAGAATTCCATCTTCATATATTCTAGAGTAACTGACTGTCGATCGAGGAATGCATGTATTACCGTGAAAAAACCGGACGATGATTTTTGAAAGTTTTGGTGATTTTTCCGTTAATTTTAAAGGACAAATGTTTCGATGGTGGACAATGCTTTAGCACCGTTCGTCTAGTGCTAAGTTTAGTAATAACCATTCAATTTGTGTGGGATTGTTGGCATTTTGGGCAATAATGAATTTAATTTTCTTTAGCATTTACAAATATACACTGGAGGTCAAGCTCCCTATAGATTTCAAAAGTGCGAAGATTTTCAGGTGGACGCCTTCAAACCCCCCGAGAAGATTTTTCCTTTTCTAATTTACCACATCTTAGTTAGGTCTCCTTTTATCCTGATTCCTGATCATAATTCGTAAAACAGTCCTTTATTATGTAATAGATTAATATATTACATTGAAAACTTTAATTGTTATCCTTTTCGCTTTTTATGCATTGATAATTAAGGTTTCTTAAAGGCGTTTCCTATATGAGGTGAGGATAAACATCCCTAAAATATGTATATAAGTATAAGTACTTACAGGTGGCACGTAATGGACATATTTTGGAGTTGTTTATGGGCCAAAACTTGTTTACGAGTTAAAATAGCGTACGGTTTGTCACGGAAGTAAAATTCATACTTTATTAAACACATTTTTTATTAAAAACTGGTCTATCGGCAAGACTACCTTCAGAAGCTTTTTAGCCCGCGTGCAGGCCCAAGGGAGCAGGCTCAAGGGAACTTGATAGTGGGCCTGCAAGCAAGGCCCAGTATTTTGTACTTTCCGCGTTCACCCACGAACGCGGCATTCTGATTGGCTGTTTGCTGTTGGATTCTATAATTAGGTCAGCGATTCATCACAAAGGCTCTCGATAAGCTCAAAATTCGAAAATTGATCACATTTTTCGATTATAAATGGAACAAAAACAGACTGTTTATTGTTTACTAGAAGGAAGATATGTTTTTGCCGTTGTGCCAATGGGGATTGCTTGTCGTGAGTTGTTGGAATAGCAAATTACGACTGGGGTAAACTATAGTAACCTTTACTTGAGTTTCATTAATTTCAAACAGACTTGATACGTTATATGTTCCTCAAGAAAATTATCTTTTGGTTGATGTTGAGATGCAGTTGCATGTAAGCCTATTAGAAACACTTTGCGATTTACAAGGCTTCGCTGAGAGAACGAAACAGAAGACGGTATATTTAAATTGCCGTTTGAAACGAAACGATCTGGACTCTGAACGCTCTCTTCTTTTGTAGAGTTCTTTACCAAATGAAATAACTGAAATAAATTTCGTACTTTCCGCCGCCAACAAGAATTGCACACACGATCTGATAAGTGAGACAATTTATTTATAAAAATGCCAACGGCGACACACATTATAAATGCTAATGTGGTCGCACGACTTCCCTCACGATTTGAAGTTTGAGACTGGTTTTCTGTTGAAATTCGTCCTAATTTGCCTGTTCCGATTTTAGTTGAAAATGAGCACTTGCAAATTTGGCAATTACTGACTGCGTTGCTTGCTTTTTTGGAGTTAAAACGCAGCCATTTACACATTGTTTATGTTCTGAATATGCAGAGAAAACCCCGCAACATTTTAATGCGAGTTTGTTTGTTAATATTTGGGTGCTGTCATTGGTTCTTTTTTGACAATTGACGCGCGAATGGGGCGTGTTATGAAAAGGGGCGTTTTACAAAATACCGGGCCTTGCTTGCAGGCCCACTATCAAGTTCCCTTGAGCCTGCTCCCTTGGGCCTGCACGCGGGCTAGAAGCTTTTCGTTAAACGAAGTTTTTGCATGTACTACCCTGGTTATCCGAATTTGGATGGAAAAATTTCAGCCCAGCTTAAGTTAACTTGCGGTCTTAACGTGCGGTTTTAATCTAAAGTGAAATAGTTTTGTACAGGAAATTATTAGAATGCATATGCATTCCCATATAGCGGACCAGCCCGGCAAACCGGGATGGCATAAGCCGGCCCGTAAAGACCAACTACGGCACTTAAAAGCTATTATAGGGACTGGCTGACTAAAACTCATGACTATATATACTTTAATTTTAATTAACTACCCTTTTTGTGGTTAAATTTAGTTAACTCTAATATCAGCACTATTCTGAGAGTTGCATGAAGTTTTCCACTATGTATAGTTAACTTTATAACGGCTTCCTAAATATTAAAAAAAAATGCTATTTACAAATTGCGCAAAAAGTATGGGAAATTTTTTCGCTCCGTTCCCGCATCGTGGCAACGGGTATATGGACTGCATGTATATGTTTACTCAGTTCCAACTTTGGCAGTAGACCATAGTGTCTTTCGCGAGAAATATAAAAGGTATTTACAGACCTCACTGGAATGTGCAAAACAATGGTTTGACGGCAATTTCTGAAAGTAGGCATTAATTTTGGCCTCACAGCCGAAGATGGAGAATTTTAAATTTTGCCTATTAAATGATAAACTATATCCCGCGAGAAAGTTCGCAAAAATAAATGTATATAATAATATAAAACACTTGTGGGATTTTTCAAGATGATTTTTCAAAGGATTTTATGGGATTTTTCAAGTTAATAAGAATTCCAACTGTCGCTCGCGTTTGACCGGAAACTATCGTTGACTTTCATAA